CTAATTGCTGTTCTCTACAGTACCTTCATTCAGGTTTTCAGTTTTAAGGTGGATGGGTGGGTAATGATAGGCTAAGGTACATATTTTCATTTGCTAACCAAAAATGCCATTTTATTCATATAAATGGGCCAAATCCCGTGGTCTTAGGTGACATTATTGTTACTATCTTTTTCATAATAGCTATATTTCAAGTGATGCTATCTTGCCAAAGCATGAGAAATTATAATTCACAAAGATACTATTTCTCTAGATTGACTTTCTTATCATGATGTAGTGTGTGGTCCTAGTCTGAGGTCTTTCCTAGTTTTTTGCTTTTGTTTTTGTTTTTGTTTTTTGTTTTTTTTGGCCAGTTGTGGGGCCTGAACTCTGGGCCTGATGTCTCTCAGCTCTTCCCCTCAGGGCTAGCGCTCTATCACTTGAGTCACAGTGCCACTCTTCCGGCTTTTTCTGTGTATGTGGTGCTCAGGAATTGAACCGAGGGCCTCATGCATGCAAGGCAAGCACTCTACCACTGAGCCACCTTCCCAGCCCAGAGGTCTTTCCTAGAAACTAGAACTTCTTTGAAGACCATATCACATGAATAAGCTTCTTTGCTATAGACAGAAGACTGCATATGCATACATTGTGGATAATCCAAATATATGGATAAAAATTAGTATGATGTATTTGCTTCTTATCTGAATATAAGAAATACACTTTTCAACAAATTTTCAGGCTGTATATTTTATACAAGTAAATACATATGAACTCATGTCTGTATTTAAATGCAAATATGTCATGCATACATATAATTATATATAAATATATTCATATAAGTATCAATGAATAATATAAATATATAAATATAAACAAATACATAACATTTATTATACATTTATATGTAGTGATATATAATATACACGATATATAGTATATATATTATATATGGTATAGTATATATATGGTATGTAATGTATATATAGTATATATAGTACATATATACTGTATATTATATAATAGTTATATATGTATATAAATATAAATAAATACATGAATATGTATTTATGTGTATACTATTACAGTTCTATATAACTATATATAGAACTATATATGGCTATATATAAACATATATATAACATATATAATCATATATATAACTATACATAAATTATATATGCTAAAATGGATCAACATATGAAAGCTTACATTAGCCACTGATACATAGAGTTCAATTCTTTGGAATGTTTCATCAACTCTTAGTTGTCAGCTGATATGCTATAGTGTATTTTAGGAATATTTGTGTTCAAAGGAACATTCAATGACATTTCAAATGTAGGTTCATGGTCATTCCTACAGTTAAACAGAAGAACCAAAGTTGTTCAATAGCAGTCCTCTGTCAATAGAATCCAGTGGGGCATTTTGTTGGATTAGAACATCAAATTCTCTCTATATAACCTCTCGATGAACAGAACAAATTTCAGAAAAGAAAAGTAACAGTTTATAAGAATAAAAACAAACTTGGTTGTTTTTCTGATAATTAACTTAACAATTAAAGTTCATAATTCATAATTAATTTTAACTAGTAGCCGCCTAAGAATGATCACAATTTTATGTAATTCATACGTGGTTGTCATGTCTTAAGTATGCTCTTTGTAGCTTATAGTCCAAAAGAATGAAAATCTAGTAGTATAGAAATCCTAATCATTCTTCTGTTACTCATTGTTACCAAAGAGATAACAAAGAAGATGTCAGTGAACACAATCTACTGAAAATATGGAACTCAGAATGAATATAGTTTGGTTACAACTGAACCTATTTCATGCTTTTCCTTAGAGCTGATATACTTAAAAATAGACTCTTAGTATTTTTTTCTCAAAAGATCCACATCAAATTATTTGTTAAATGAAATGGCATAATCACATTTACAGATTGTGGGCATAGAAAAATTAAAAAACATTCAATCCCTAGTTACAGTAATTATTAGTATCTCTTATAGCCACATTCAGACAATATATCAGTGTTTTCACAGTGAATTAATTAGAAGGTTTTATCACAATCAGAAGCTGTAAGGGGAATGTGGAATCGTCACTTTATACTGAGCATATTCTAAGTTCCTACTTAAAAACAGATACAGAGAAGAAAAGGAATATAACAAGTGAGATTGTGACTGAAATATGTCTAGATATTTTATTCCACAAAATAATATATAGCAATCAAAGAAAAAGAAGATCCTGCTCTTAGAGAGGAAAGGTGAAGCAGGTTGCGGAGGAACATAAGAATAACTTTCTCAGGAAATAAATGGCACATCAGGAATGTTCACCTTAGAGCTTGTAGATGAACTGAATAACCCGAAAGAAGGATGGCAAAAGAGTAACATGGACTGTCTAGAAAGAGAAATGGAAAAACTGGTGGGAAAAGAGAAAGAAGAAGAGTAAATCCAGAGCTACTGAGGAAGAAGTGTCCACTCTGAGCCAGATATACTTTATGACACAATTTTTAACCTTAGTTTAGCTATTTTATTATCACACTGACATATATGAACTGGAGGTTCAAGGCCTTGAGATAAAGTCATACTTTACATGAAAAACCAAGATTTGTAACTCATTTTAGTACAAAGATAGTATCTTTTTCCATCCTTTGTTGACTTAGAGGACAAGCTTAATTTTATTTAGTTAGTTAGTTTTACTTAATAGGCATCGCTTGTGTACGTGAATAAACTGGAGAAGGTAAAGTCACAGTACACAGCACTTGCTAAGTTTTGAGAGAGGGAATAAGATTAGCTCCCAAATTTAAAATAACAGCACTTAGGACAACTTCTGAAAAACTGATGCAGAAAACGTAAGTGAGATTTGAGGGACTGCTAAGGAGGAGCACACCCACAGCTTCCTAGGTTCATGCAGAGAAAAGAGAACATCACATTGCATTCATCCTTATCTTTTCCCCGTTTTTCCACCCAGTTAGGCTCCATTAAACAAAGAATGAAAGATATCAAAGTATATTTACAATGTTGCCTTGCATGCATCCATGGATTTGACTTGGCAATTTTCTGATGAAGGAATGATAGGGATTGGGTGTGCAGAAGCTCCTGCTGGCTGCTTTATAAAGAAGTGCTGATTTTGATCCCTGAGGAGATTAGCTTTTCTGCTTTGCCGGCTAAGGTGAGCTGCCTTAGAGATTAAATAAGAAAAGAGGACTTTGTGGCCTGTTTAATCCCTTTTCTGCCGTCTGGATTAGTATTTCTCAAAGGTAAAAATAAGTTGTTGAATGTAACTTACTTTTAATATTGCAACAATGTGCCATCTAAAACATAACAGTGAAATAACAGTGATATTGGCAATGTTAAACTGAAGGACTTTTAATTGTATGAATGCAGCCACAAATTTAGCTCAGAAGAAACAAGTCTAGGCTACTTTTAAAAGCAAGTTGTTGTTGTTTTAAATGTACTATGTGATTTCTTGTTTCTTTTGTATGTTTTTCCCCCTATAGTTAACCCCTGTTGTCACTGTATTTGATTTTGGTGCCCTGGTATTTTCTATATGTTTATCTGAATTAGGAAAGGGAAGAGGAACAACAGAATGGTGAGACAAAGGACAAGGGTTCCAATGCAACAGCCATATACCCAAAACAATATAGTAGAAATAATCTGTACAACTTGTGGGGGTGGGGAGGGGACTGAGGAGGAGGGAAACTAGTAGACAAATGAAGAAAGGAGTAACAAATTTCAAGAAATGTACTTATTACCTTACTTATGTAACTGTAATCCCTATGTACATCACCTTGACAATAAAAGAAGAAAGGAAATAGGGAAAATTAAAAACAAATGGGAAGGAAAGACAAAAGACAATTTAAACCATAGCCACTATGTTCCATACATCAGCAATACTATTTGCTAAGTTGAAGCATTTTTCCTTTGAAAATATCCAAATGAAGTGTGTTAATTAAATGCACATGCACTCACATAGTCATTTTTGCCTTCATATTTCAGGTAAACTCAAATTGTCCTGCAGAATGGAAAGATCTCTCCACTGTCCTCAAATCAATGGCATATGTTTGTATTTCAGATCATGACTATAGAAAAACTACCCATCATTTGCAAATTTGATGTTACTTTTATTTTACAAAGACACACTGACTGAAAAAAATAAATTACCCCCCCCCAAATACCCAACACATACATGCTTCAGTAAGAATCTTGCAAACTTACCTGCAGCCTTTCCTTTCTCTCTCTTGACCTCCAATGGCCTTTCTTAATAAGAAACTAATTTTCTTAAGGTTTTGTTTTCTATCTGTGATCTAGAATCTACTCTTCCTCCAATACACCTTTCAATAATTCTCCTACTCTTTTCAGTATCTTTACCATAATTAATTCTTATTATTCTAACAGAGCATTTTTAATCTCTCATCTTAATATTTAAATATTTACTCGATCCTATTCTTCTTCTTCAATTGAGTCATAACCTTTCTTTGTCAAAAAACACGGTGTGGTTCCCACTTTTTTCCAAGAGCCCTGTTTGCTGTTCACAGAAAATTTTTCTGTGGGAGTTAATAACATTTCACTACTCTTAACTATATTTTATGTCATTAAGAAACATCCATCTAAGGATAATTACAGTGCTTGATTAATTTTGAGTAATACCACCATTATCTAAGCTTTTCTCTCCTTCTGTTTATAGCTTATTTTTGTGACATTTCAATTCTTAGGATTTACATGACATTTGATATACTACCAGAACTGCAGCATATCAGGGAGATTTGCGCAGAGACAAAACAAGTACAATAAAAAGGGAACACATTGGTAGTGTCTACTGAGCCCAATCTTCCCAGTGCAGGCATCTTTTTTTCCTAAGAGAGGATCTGAAGTTTCAGAGACAGCATAAAGAAAATGCAACAACATCTCAACAACAAAGGATGCTGTTGTTTTAATGGCCTGAGAAGATGTGATGATTGTATCTTAACCAAATGTCCCATTCCTAGAAGATTGGAGAATTTGGTGAGTCATGAGGATTATTGCTATTATTTACCTTCCTTAAGGAAAGAATTCCTTCCCTAGTGTCTTTGTCCGTGGAGATAGAGAACATGCCGACCCCATCACCGTTTATGATAGAGTATGTCATATCAGCATTTGAGCCTGTGTCCGCATCGTTGGCTTTGATTTTCCCAACAGCTGAACCCACTTGAGCTGACTCAGGAACATAGAGTTGATAATGTTCTGAAAAACATTGTCATATTTTACTTGGCTAATAATAAAACATTCCTGAAAGCAATCTTACAAGTAAAAATAGATATATACATATTTAGACTCCATAGTCAAATGAACATTGTAGGAAGACATGAAATAAATAGAATTCTTTTCAGATTTTGAAATATCATATACATGTATGTTTATATAAATATTAAGACACCAAACTCGCAAGAAAACACACTGCATCCTAGAATGTGAATTATTTTATCCGTTCTGTCACATGAAACAACACAGAAATATAGAAGTGAAGTTTACATTTTTAAAGTGAATAAGACTCAGTTAGATAGCTGGGTGTTGGTAACAGAAGTCTTTAATCCTAGCTACTCAGAAAGCAGTGATCTGATTAAAGTGTTTGGAGTCAGTCTAGATAGCAAAGCTCTGAGACTCTTACCTATAATTAACTAGCAAAACATGAGAAGTGGAGATGTCGTTTATGTGCTATAACACTTGCCTGGAAAGAAAATTCTAAGAGACAATGTCCAGGAACTGAGTTGAAGCCTCAGTACAGGCACAAATTATTTCTCTTTCAATTCATCATGGACTAATGTCAGTTCAATGTATTTCTTCATTCAAATAGCCTGTAAAGTTTAAATATACATGTAGGAACTTGGAGTTTAACAGAAAAATAATACTTCAAAATAAAGGTTACCATTTCAAAAAGAGACTTCAATTTAGTAAAATGTATAAAACAGGATATAAAAGAGAGTAAACATAATTATATAATTATGATTTATTCTCCACTAATGTTTAAAAAGGACTTAATATGGCTTTATAATAGTCAAAAAAATAGATTACTAAAGTTAAGTGTCACATCAATGACCAAATCAAAGTATCAAATTAAACACATAGCCACAAAAAGTTATATGTTACTTGTCAATTACCAATAATTTTGTGTTTCTTCTATTTCTAAGAGGTGTAAAATTGTCATTTCTATAACTAATATTGTCTAATATACGACAAAAACAAGTTTTAATATTTCCTATATGTCCATATAGAGATGAGGAAGAATAAAACTGATGTTTATACATACATGGAATTTTATCCACATTTTAACATGAGGAGTCTCTGAAATAGACAAGGACAGTGCAATTGATTGTGGGATGGTAGTGCTTAGGGGAAGCAGGTAACAAGAGAAGAACGAACATGGTGGGATGACATTCCAAGGTATCTACTATGGTCAAGCCCATACAGTTAAAGAACAAGCCAATGCTTTGTTCTTCTTGGCCATTGTGATTATTGCTATTTATTTTTTGGTTGGTTGTGGGGCCTGAACTCTGGGCTTGGGCACTGTCCCCCAGATGTTCAGCTGTAGACCAGTGCTCTACCACTTGAGCCTCAGGCCCATTTCCGGCTTTTTCTGCTTATGTGGTGCTGAGGAATGGAGCCCAGGGCTTCATGCATGCAAGGCAAGCGCTCTACCACTGAGCCACCTTCCCAGCGCCATGATTATTGCTTTTATGCTGGTATTTTTTTTTTTTTTTGAGCTGGGGACATGACTCTAGTTTTAGTGTACTTGACTGAACTGCAAATAAAGAAAAATAAACAATATTGTCATTACTTACTAATCTCAGCACTGAGAAGATGCGTTGCCAGTCACATACAAGTACCGTGTATAATTTTTTTAAAGAAGAGAGTATATTATTTCATGCATGTACTCTATTGTTCAACTACCTGACCCAAACCCCAGCCCTGTTGTATTTGATCTAGAATCTCACTAACTGCCTAAACTAGCATATAGGTCATGGACTACTTTTTACCACCGAGGGTGTATTATAGGTATTACAGCAAAAAGTCCATATTATAATATGCTTTGAAATAATGAATTTAATTGTCAAGATGTTTAACAATTTGTCTTCTAGCATGGTACATATGAATTAGAATAACTGCTTTCTCTTTCTATGAAAAAAATGACACTGGAATTTTGGTAGATATCTCACTAAATTTTAAGAATAATCCTACATATAATGTCATATTCAGTGGTGAATACTGAATTCATTTCCTCTAGGATAAGAAAACAGGAATTGATTCCAGATCCCACCTATTCTCTTCCACATAGTAGCAGAAGATATAGCAAAAGCAATTTGCCAAATGAAAAGAAATAAGGTGAAAGAAAATGCCCTTGTCTGATATTATATATAGAAAAGGAAAATGAATTAATAAAAAAACTATTAAAACTAACAGTAAAAGTGCAGCATATAACTTACACACAGAGAACCATTTGCTTTTAAAAATATTAATAAAAACATGAAAATATTAGAATACCATTGTAATTTGCAATAGCCTCAAAAATAAATATAAGATAAGCATAGAAGCAAAATACATATATTGAAAACTATAAAACCAATATGAAAGAAATATTGAAAAAACACAAATAAAAAATACACTTGATACTTATGTGTAGAAGTCTAATTTTCTTCTAAAGAGGAAATTATATTTTTAAATGCAAATGTGTAGATACTATGCTTTTTCTTTCATGTGTATATGTTTATCTGACATTCTGAAAACCTGTTTCTCAGCTCTCTTCCATAAACATGAAAGACCTTTTCTGATAAATTCCAATGAAGAGAAACTATTACTATTTTTTAGAGCAATGGTGCTTGCCAAGTCATTACATGGTAGGCAGAGCATTCTCTTCTCTGAAGCACATTATGCCTTGACCTAAACAGTAGGGTTTCATTAGGTTCTACCTTTTTAATAAAAGTTTCCTTATTTTCTTTGATACAGTTAACCAATTAGAAAGATCACGTGACTCTGACATTTACAAGACTGCACCTGTCTTCACAGGCTTGACGGCTGAAGAGTAGAGAGCTGATTTGTATCCTTTTAAAAACATGTACATTAGACAGAAATAGAACTAGGAAATTAAAAAAAAGCAACTATTTGCTGCCAAAGCTGTTATGTGTTAACAGAGGTTATTACAAGTAGACATTTCCAAACTGACATGGAACACAGAAGATTAAGAACTACAGGATTAACACAAATCATTATGATTTAGTGATGGCTTGGATGTTTCTTAGAATTAACATGTATATTGTCATATTACTTGTCCAACAGAAAGTATAAGGATATTATGGAATAAAGTGGTTCAAATCTAAAGTCTTTTAATCCAGAACCGCTAGAGAAAGTAAATTGCTTACATGACCAAGTCCACCTAAAACAGAATTTCACACAATCATCATCAAACCTACCCAAAACTTTCTACTAGTTAATCTTGCAATAAGAACACTCATAAACTGAAAAGGGTTTGAAAAGGCAAATTAGTATTCTCTAGAAATATTATAGCAGTAGCGTCGTAAATCAGATGTTTTAAGAGCAGGTCACAAAAATAGTTTGAGTAAATAAATAAATGTATATATATATATATATATATATATATATATATATATATATATATATACACACACACACACACACACATATATCCCTTAAAATATGTAAGCTGTTTTTTTACAAAACAAAGCTTATCTCCACAAGGTAGAGATCATGTTGGAGGGAAAAATCTGGTATTTTTTTTAGAGATTTTAAGAAGAAATTTCTCTATCACTCTCGTTCTCTAGATAACATTGAATATGCTCATATTAATATTTTATGTAGTCTCTACAGATGGGCTAATTTATAAATCATAATTGCAGGTGTAAGTTTAGTAGACAACCTCTAAAGTAGTCCATAGTAATCTGGCCCCCCAACTGATATTCAGAAGGATAATCAATCTCCTCATCTTGGATGGTGAAAATATAGGTGACTCACTTCGAATGAAATGAATTGACAGAATATTTGATCTTCAATCAAGATTAATCGTGGGGCTTGTGTCAAGCCCTGCCCTATGTTGCTCACTGGGGGAAGCTAGGGGCCATGTTTGGCTCTGTGATGTAGTCCTTGTCATGACTGACTGACTGACTGACAACTACCAAAAACCCTGCAGTGAGGAGGAAGCAGACACCACTCTGATTTCTGCAAGCAGGAATTTGGTTAAGAAACCAGGAACTGTGGGGCTGGGAAGGTGGCTCAGAGGTAGAGAGCTTGCCTTGCATGCATGAGGCCCTGGGTTCCATTCTTAAGCACCACATAAACAGAAAAACCCAAAGTGGCTCTGTGGCTCAGTGCTAACCTTGAGCTGAAGAGCTGAGGGACAGCATCCAGACTCCACAACCGACCAGAAAACAACAACAACAAAAACACAAAATACTTACTTTGCATTTCATTTAATGAAAACATTAATAGCACTCAGGGGACTAGAGCAGAAAGACTGCTTCTGATTAGGAATATGATAGTTCCAGGCCAGCAAGGCAAAATGTTAAGGAAAGTTTATTTCTACAAACAAGGCAGTTAGCTTCAAGTGTGTACTAGCTACCTGAGAGGCACAGGTATGGAGAGCGTATTCCAGTACAAGCCCCAGACATAAGTATGAGACCCAAATTAAGCAATAGTTAAAGCAAAAGTCTTAAAATTAAAAACAAAGCAAAACAAAACTAGCATGAGGATCTTAAGTTTAAATGCCAGGGCTTCCAAAATTTTAAGAATTATTGAAGGATAAAATGGTGTTCTAAATACTTCTTTTCATAATCTAATTATCATCCTTCTGGCCTGCTTCAAACATAATGATCATAATCTGGTGGATTCCCTTTAGGGAGGAAGGAACACACAGCAAAAGCCCAGGCCCAGTGGGAACAACCAATTTCTGGATCTGGCTTCTCATTCTTCGGAGTGGCTTCACTTTCTCTTTACTAAATCAACTCATGAAAAGCGTGCTTGCTATTCCTGACTTACTTGTATATGGTCGGAGAACAAGGACCCATTATCTCATGTCTCATGCATCAAAAGCATTTTAAGGAAATAAATACCTCCTTTTGCTTTACCATGGGTGCCTGGACACGCAAATAAGTGGGTAAAGTCATTCATTATTTCCCTACTTTCTGCAGACAGTTACAGGTAAAATTGTGCTACCTCTGGTTCCATGTTGCAAAACT